AGTTCTACTTTATCCGTCACCCACCTGTTATCACCGTCTTTCAGCGCCTCTACCCTATTTCTCCTCCTGCGAATAATAGTAGAGGTATGGAAAAAAGTAGTATTCCTGTCCCCTAACTCAAAAAATTTCTCTCTAGATTTCTGGTACCAAAGCGTCTCCTCCTGTTCCAAAACAGTGTCAAAACTCTTCAATAACTGCTCCTCTTTAGCTAGTAACTCATCGGACTGAAGTACATCCAACAAATCCTGTACTTCTTTAATCTCAGCCACCAACTTCTCTTTCCGAACATGAATGTCTCCAAACACCTCCTTATTCCACTTCTTCAGCCTCACTTGCAACCCAAATAACGCTGCCGGTGTAGACAAAGCTGGATTCCAAGAGGCTGCCAACAAATCCTTGAAACCATCATGATTTAACCACGCTGCCTCGAACCTAAATGGTCTTCGTCTCGGGTCCATCCTCTGTTCCGGGCTGAGCTGAACATATAATGGAGCATGATCCGAGGCCATGAATGGCAGATTGGAGACAACAGCTTCCTGCCATTTCAGTCTCGCATGTGCACAACAAAAGACTCTATCAAGCCTTTTAGCCACCACTGTTCTTTCACTTCTCCCCCTCCTCCAGGTAAACTTGTTACCTTTAAAGCCCAAATCAATCAGCGACAAATCATTAATCCAATCACCAAAGGCTAAAGAGTCAGGTGAGAGTCTCCCGTTCCCTCCCATCCTCTCATCCACCCTAAGTATGGTATTAAAATCTCCCCCAATAAATAGCGGACCTGACAGTCCCCTAACTACTTCCTTTAGGTCTCCCCACAAACCACTCCTCCGGCTTACCGACGGCGCCGCATACACCACCACCAGATTAATAATTTGGAGACTTGGAGACTTGGAGACTCAAATTAATAATTTTTTTTTTGAACAAACATAATTAATAAATATTATAATTCAAATATATAACTAATTGCAGCCCAAGTCCAATACATTTGGGCCCATAATGAAATAAGCCCATAAACAAGAGAGTATTCTTTTATAAACCCTAAAAATTTCCCACTTCCCGATTCGCACAGCCAAAAACCCCCAATTTTGGCCTCTCGATTTAGTTTTTGAAACCCTAAGCTCGATTTCGAATCTCTCCGGCGTACTCGATTCGCCGGTCGAATCTCTGCTTGTAGCGAGTGTTACTGTTTAATCGGCGAAAATGTCGATGTCGAAGAGTTCAAAGATGCTTCAGTTCATCAACTACAGGATGCGAGTGACGATCCAAGACGGAAGACAGCTCGTTGGGAAGTTCATGGCGTTTGACCGTCACATGAACCTCGTTCTCGGCGATTGCGAGGAGTTTCGTAAGCTTCCACCAGCGAAAGGGAAGAAGATCAACGAAGAACGTGAAGATCGCCGTACGCTAGGTTTGGTTTTGCTTAGAGGTGAAGAAGTTATCTCAATGACTGTTGAAGGACCACCTCCTCCTGAAGAATCTCGTGCTAAAGCTGGCTCTGCAGCTGCTGTTGCTGGTCCAGGAATTGGCCGTGCCGCTGGGCGTGGAGTTCCTACTGGTCCGTTAGTTCAAGCTCAGCCTGGACTATCTGGTCCTGTTCGTGGTGTTGGTGGACCAGCTCCGGGGATGATGCAGCCTCAGATCTCTCGTCCACCACAGCTTTCGGCTCCTCCGATTATTCGACCTCCGGGACAAATGTTGCCACCTCCTCCAACTTTTGGTGGTCAAGGTCCACCTATGGGAAGAGGTCCTCCACCGCCTTATGGTATGAGGCCACCACCACAGCAGTTTTCTGGACCACCACCGCCTCAGTATGGGCAAAGGCCAATGATTCCTCCTCCTGGTGGTATGATGAGAGGACCTCCTCCTCCACCTCATGGAATGCAAGGACCGCCACCGCCTCGCCCTGGAATGCCTCCCCCTCCTGGTGGTTTTGCTCCACCGCGTCCTGGCATGCCACCACCGCCTAATCAACATAATCAGCAGCAGTGATTAGGTTAGCAGTGAATGAATATGACTCTTGTCTCGGCTTTTTACTGTTTTTGTCACTGTTTTCTTGAGATTGTGAAGGCTTTAAGCTGTTTGTTTGAACTTCCTCAGGTTTACAGTATCTTGCTATCATGTTGCCTTTCATTGAATTTAGCCGCAATCTCTCATTTATCTTAGCTTGCGAAGTTTGTAGATTTGTTGACGAGTGAGTGTCTTTGCCTTATCTTCTTGTGTTTCTTTTTAAGAATGAACATCTAACTCTAGGATTGTTTGACATTGCTAACCCTTTTGAGGATGAAACAACAACTTTCTTGCTCCATTGTGAGGAGCTTAATCACCTCTTAGAAAGTTTGAAGCTAAGTGGACCTAGTTCGCCATTAGTTATCCCCATCTGAATCTTACTTGAACAAAGGCTAAATCGATTCTACTATTGATCAGCTCTCTGGTCCTTGTTTTGGATTGTTTAGGTAGAAGTTAAAACCTTGTTTAGAGAGCTATTGATGTTGTGGTGAACCGTGAACGCATTCAGCTTTTTGTGATGAAGAACTTAGAACTTGTTGATGTATCAGAAGATGAAAGTCTGGAATATTCGCATTACCTTATGATTTTTTTTGATATATAGTTGAAATCTATCACAAATCATTGTGGTTCAGTTTGGTTGTGTTTCATTCTTATAATATGTTAACTTTGATGAAATGAAATTGTGAATAAGTGTGGTTAGTTGAATGGTAAGTAAGGCTTGTTTAGAGTGAAAATTGAATGGTCAACAGCCAACTCCGATTGTTTGGCTGTGTAGCACTACTGCGTTTGATTCATTTTGACATTTTTAGAGATATTTTTACAAACACCAAAAAGATAAAAAGAATCGTCTCATTACAAGAATTGTGCCGTTGGAGGTTGAGATAGAAAACAGAAGATAAGTACGAAAGGAAATAAAAAGTCAAAAACAGTGGTGTAACCCATTAACACTCCTAATGATGCTTCGCGTTAACCCCACCATTGCTAAATCTCAGCTTTAAATTTTTAATACATACATCAAAGAATATAACAAGGCTGCTACAACTTTAATCATATGTTTAATATATAGTTGTTACTTCTTGTTTATTTCTTAATCAAAGTTCGTTACAGATTGGAGTTTTCAATTAGTATCAGACTACTTCTTCTTACTGATAAGGTTATTATATTATATATGATCAAAAATCAAGAAACACTTTGTTATTACAATGTTTTCTTTTAAAATTTCAGAGGAAATCTGTGGAACTGAATTAAGTAAAAAAAAAACAACTATAATAAAGAGGATAAAAATGGGACCCGACAAGTTCCAACAGCTAAATTATGCAAAACTCTGGTGTTTTTTCAACAACACTGTGCTCGTCCTTTTCATTGCCTATCGTTCTGGGACCCTGTAGTGTAGTTAAAACGTTCAAAAAATATTCACAGAATCCAAGAAACCCACAGAATCTCGTGAGTTTTGGGTTCTTCTTTCTTCTAAATATAATCCAATCCACCTTGTGTATATAATAATATTAATAAGTATAAATATGAGCACACTCTTCTCTTTTCACCGTCTCCAACACGAAAAAGATACAAAAGGCAGTTCCTTTTTCTTCTGCAGATTCCACTTACTATTCACCATGTTTGCTTAATGATTTCTTCTTCTTTTGCAGCTTTTTTTCTCTCTTTATCTTTTCTTATTTAAGCAATTGGTTGGTTTCGTAGGTTTTATTTTTATTTTTATCAGTGAGTGAAAAATGATGAGAGTTTTGATGGTGAATTTTGGGGTTTTCCTTCTGTTCTGTTTTGGGTTTTTGTCGAACTCATTTGGACAAGATAATAATGCTGGTGATTCTGATATAAACTCTACTACGGCTGTTTACATTGTTACTCTGAGACAAGCTCCTTCTCTTCATCTTTTCCAGCAAGAAACAGAAGTGAAGAACAGGGTCAGAGATAAATCCAAACATGGAGACACTTCCAAGTTTACTAGACCAAAACTCCAACCAAGGTAGTTGAATTTTGTTTTGGAATCTTGTAATTCAGATCTTGGTTAACGAATTAATCACTGAATTAGAAAGAGTTCACTTTTAGGTACATGCATTTTATGATTCTCTGTTTGTAAAGGTTCACTCTTTTGTTGTGTAGACTATTTTCTGGTGTTGATTTAGGTTCTCTGTTTATATAGGAACATTTCAAAGTCACGTTATTGGAGATCAAGGAGATCAGCAATTGCTCAAGCTCATGACTCTTTGTTGAGAAATGCTTTGAAGGGAGAGAAGTATATAAAGCTTTATAGCTTCCATTATCTCATCAATGGTTTTGCTGTCTTTGTTAGCTCACAACAGGTAATCTTGATCATATACCATATCTATGTGAGCTTATGCTATGTTATGTTATCTTTATGTCAAAGTTCCTTCATTTTCTCTTAGGCTGAGAAGCTGTCAAGGAGAGGGGAAGTAGCAAACATAGTGTTGGATTTTTCTGTTAGAACGGCAACAACTTATACACCTCAGTTCATGGGTCTACCAAAAGGTGCATGGGTTAAAGAAGGTGGATTTGAAACTGCTGGAGAAGGAATTGTTATCGGGTTTATCGACACTGGCATTGACCCAACTCACCCTAGTTTCAATGGCACTGACACTTCCCAGCGTCAGTATCCGATCCCTAATCATTTCTCAGGTGTTTGTGAAGTTACACCGGATTTTCCATCGGGCTCCTGCAATAGGAAGCTTGTTGGAGCCCGCCATTTCGCGCAGTCAGCTATTACTAGAGGGATTTTCAATTCATCTGAGGACTATGCTTCACCTTTTGACGGCGATGGCCATGGCACGTAAGTATAACTTGTTGGTAATGTTGAACATCATTGGCATCTTCTTCACATTCTTGCTACTAAATATTGGTATCTTGATGAAACAGGCACACAGCTTCCATCGCAGCGGGTAACCATGGGGTCTCAGCAGTAGTTTCTGGCCATAACTTTGGAAGTGCTAGTGGAATCGCTCCTCGTGCACAGTAAGTAAATAGACATTAACCAGATACCATCGGTATCATTCATATTGCATTGAGTGTACTAATGACATGTTTTCATATGTACCAGTATTTCTGTTTACAAGGCATTATATAAGAGTTTTGGGGGATTTGCTGCAGATGTTGTTGCTGCTATAGATCAGGTAAATATTTACCTTTTTCTTTTATTGACTAATTAGAAGTATCGATCCTTTCATAACACTTTTCAGTTGGTTATGAATCTTGTTAGGCAGCTCAAGATGGAGTTGACATATTAAGTCTATCCATCACACCAAATCGACGTCCTCCTGGTGTAGCCACATTCTTTAACCCGTTAGATATGGCTATGCTATCCGCTGTTAAGGCCGGTATATTCGTTGTGCAAGCTGCAGGAAACACAGGTCCTTCTCCTAAGAGCATGTCCTCCTTCAGCCCATGGATTTTCACAGTTGGTGCTGCTACTCACGATCGAGTTTACTCTAATTCGATAATTCTAGGCAACAATGTATCTATTCCAGGCATAGGACTTGCACGTAAGTCTTATTTCATTTCATCAGCTAATTTTTATTTCTTAATGCCTTAGGCCCTTAGCTTTGAATTGCTGTTTTGTTTTCTTCTTCTAGTTCCTACAGATGAAGGCAAGGTGTACACTATGATCTCTGCTCTTGATGCATTGAAAAACAAAAGTTTAGTACTCGACAAAGACATGTATGTAGGTGAATGCCAAGACTATGACAGCTTCGATAAAGATATCATCCGTGGGAATCTTCTGATATGTAGCTACTCTATCCGTTTCGTGCTCGGACTTTCCACTATTAAACAAGCTTTAGCTGTTACCAAGAATCTATCTGCAAAGGGTGTTGTGTTCTACATGGACCCTTATGTCCTTGGTTTTCAGATTAACCCTACACCAATGGACATGCCCGGCATCATAATTCCATCCTCAGAAGATTCCAAGGTGAGAACATAACTAGAAATATATGACTTACTCTTTTGATTCTTCTCGATGAGCAATCTAATAATGATATGTTAATTCATTTATAGGTTTTACTCAAGTACTATAACTCTTCTCTTGTAAGAGATGGAACCACCAAAGAGATTGTTAGATTTGGGGCAGTTGCGGCCATTGCAGGTGGACAAAATGCTAACTTCAGTAACAGAGCTCCCAAGATAATGTACTACTCAGCAAGAGGACCTGATCCAGAAGACAGCCTCTTTAACGACGCCGACATTTTGAAACCAAATCTTGTAGCTCCTGGAAATTCCATTTGGGGTGCTTGGAGTTCCGCTGCCACTGAATCCACTGAGTTTGAAGGTATACAAAATATCTCCAAAGCATGACATTGTTAAAGTTAATGACATTCCCATTTAAGCTCTTATGTTATTTTTGCTCCATTTAGGAGAGAGTTTCGCGATGATGTCTGGTACGAGTATGGCTGCTCCTCATGTAGCTGGTGTGGCTGCATTGGTCAAGCAGAAATTCAGAAAATTTAGTCCTTCATCTATTGCATCTGCACTGTCAACAACCTCTGTTCTTTTTGACAATAAAGGTGAGGCGATAATGGCTCAACGTGCTTATGCTAATCCTGATCAAACCCTATCTCCTGCAACCCCATTTGATATGGGGAATGGCTTTGTGAATGCAACCGCAGCTTTGGATCCTGGCCTAATCTTTGATACTAGTGAGTTAAACACTTAACATAACCATGGCCGTTTTCAAAATTTTCATATAAGCAAATGTAGACCATTTTAACGGTCTACTTATGCAGGTTTTGAAGACTATATGTCATTTCTTTGTGGAATCAATGGATCAGCTCCAGTGGTTTTCAACTACACCGGCAAAAATTGTTTGCTTAGCAATGCAACAATCAGCGGAGCTGACCTCAATTTGCCATCCATCACTGTCTCGAGGCTTAACAACACTCGAACTATCCAAAGACTAATGACAAACATTGCTGGAAATGAGACCTATACTGTCAGTTTGATTCCTCCTTTTGATGTTTTGGTGAAAGTATCTCCTACTCAATTCTCTATAGCCAGTGGAGAGACAAAGCTACTTAGTGTAATCCTCACAGCAAAGAAGAACAGCTCTATTGCTAGTTTTGGGAGAGTCAAGCTTTTTGGAACCGCAGGACATGTTGTTCATATTCCGATGTCTGTCACAGTGAAAATCGCCTCGAACCAATGAAGCTGTTATTATTACACAGAGCTTGATAGATAAGATAAATTGTATTCATTTCATTTTTCCATGTAAATGTCACATAGCATTTATAATACATGGTACATTTTATTTGATACAATATGTAAAACTAGAGGAAATAATCAACAGCCATTAAAACACAACAAGGTTCTACTAGAAAACATTTCTTGTTTTCATTCACTACGCGTTGCCTCCATCTCTGTTTCCTTTGCTTGGCGAAGAAGGCACCTTCTCGGATTCCTCTTCCTCAGCAGCAGCAGATCCAGAAGATGGTGTTGCACTTACGGGGGAGGAAGGATTCGTAGGCGTACCCATTGGAAAAGGAGCATACTTGTGGAAAGGCCAGCCTTGGAATGGGAACCTATACCTGAAAAAACCGGCTATGGCAGAGTTTGTTGCAGGCTCATCAATCTTGATCATGGAGGATGATGAATCAACCTTGGGTGATTCAGAAACAAGCATTGCGGGAGAATGAACATGTCCTTTCCCAAGCGTCTTCCCTATGACAGCTGATGGTGCTGCGAGTTTCGGGCTGCGAGAGCAGATCACAAGTGGGGAAGCGACGATTGTGAGAAAGATTAAGCAGAGACAAACTCTTGAGATTGACATTGTAGCTGAATTTGTGTTCTGTATTTAGACTTTTGAGCAAGAGATGGTTCTTGTTTTTGTTTTGAAGTTGTTTGTTTGATGATGTTTGGATTCAATGGTGTTGTAATTTATAGAGTGGAGATTGTAGAGATAGAAGAATGTGTAGTTAACAAAGACTGTGAAGATTAAAATTTCAGACATAGACAGACGCGGAATATAAGACCTTAACACCATATGATGAGTGTAAGAAAGGATCAACTTCAAAAACAACACCAGACCACTCAATCTTCCCCCAAATCTTGCCTCCCTTGCATCTCTCCATGGAAATCTCGGCACACCAAAGGTCCAAACTCTGGGCGATCCAAAAGATAACAATATTTCCAGCAGAATTGCTGCAGAGTTTGTTGATATTAAAGGAATGTCTCGAACTAGAGAGAGAGTGTTGCAAATCTTCCAAACCTTTAACTTCCTTCCAATCCAATTCATCTAGCTCACACCATAAGATTTTTCCGCGAGTGCCGCGACAGTACAATAGTTTATCAATGATACACCAATCCTCTGTGTTTACTATCTCATTGCTTGTCAAGACGTAGAATCTTCGATCTTTCTCATTCAGCGCGAAAATCTTCTTCACCTCTATAGCCAGACTCTGGTGGAGAATTTGATTTTGTGGTATCTCAAAATCCCAATTGTGGGTCAAAAACAAGAGAGGGGCCCAAGTTTGAGTCTCTCGATCAAATACCTCTGCCCATATATGGTCATGAGGGTAATGCTCGGACCCTCCAAACACGTATATCTTCCCGTCTACGAAGCATGCCGATGCGGAAGCTCGAGGCATATTCATGGACTTGACGCGGTGCCATGTGTGAGAGTAACAATCGAGGAACGACACATCCGTAGTGGGAATGTCGTCGATGAGTCCACCAATTACAAAGATTCCCCCATCCACCACAACGAAAGAAGATGAATCCGGAGGCTGGTAAGGGTTTGACTGGATCGGGTTCAGTCGTCTATTAGGGGTAAGAATGAACCACCGTGGAGATGGGTTAGGAAAGACTTTCATGCATACGTACATAGACACGTCGGTGCAACCCATCTCCCATCTCAAGTAGAAGAGCTCAGTGGAAGCTACGAGAGAGCGGTGGCTCTTGGAGACGAGAGATAAGGCCGCGTGGTCAAATCTCGAAACACGAGCCAAGCATCTCAGAGCTATCTCATCCGGTAACAACGATAACCCAGACCACGAGTGAGACGTCTCCTTGCTCTTCTTCCTCCTTTTACTTTCCGGTGGCACTTCTGGAGCGTAACAGTCGAACATCGTCAATCCCAATTCACAACAACCCAAAACTCTAGATTTTCCTTTGATTGATTGAGTACTGTCCGTATTCAACTTCTCGAATTTTGTGAGATCTTGCTTTGATCCGGACAGAAACTGTTTTATAGATTTTTTGATGGTTCCTGATCCGACAGAAACTGTTTCATAGAATTTTATGGTTCCTTTTCCAAAACGAAGAAGATTAAAACCCTAATTTCCTTCTTTTTCTTGTAGAAGAAACTAGTCTTTTTTTTTTTTTTTCCGAGGATATATACAGTAAACCTCTATAAATTAATACTCTATAAATTAATAACCTCTCTAAATTAATAAATTCTTCCGGTCCCGAGTTGGAACCAGTGTAAAATATGACATAAATCGATAAATTAATAAAATAATATTTTTTTTTGAAAATCTCATGTAAATATATGGTTCCATCTATATCATAAATTAATAATTGAATTAACTTATCAATATATATATATATATATATATATATACATTATAGAAATTTATATATATTATATACTATGATATATATTTGAAATATTATATGTAAAATTTTTGATGAAATATGACTCTATGTCTCTATTATTCGAAAAAGGTTTGTGTTGTTTTTTTAAACTTAATAATTGTTTTTCTACTTGTAATTAGTTTTTAAAAGATATTATTTATAAAGAAAAAATTTATTTTTAGATAGAAATTTCTTAAAAAGTTAGAAAATTAGTAAAATCTCTCTATCGATAAATTAATACCTCTCTAAATTAATAAAATTTTCTGGTCCCAACACTATTAATTTATAGAGGTTTTATTGTAGTTGCCTTTATCCTTTTATTTATAACTAGGATTAATCGGCGCTACGCGCCGGTTATTTATATATAAAAATTTTCGCTATATTTTTAATAGAGTAATCTCCGTTAGCATTTTAACAAAGTAAAGGTTTGTAACTTGAGCTCTTAAGTGTAGTTTTTGATAAAAAAAAATATCTATGTGAAAGAGATTTGATATACATTGGTTATATGTTCAACTGATTTTTTTTAATATGTACCTTTTCTGGGAGTTTAAGTGTTAGTTTGAATTAAACGTAAAATCTTTATGAAATTTATTTTCTTTACAGCGACAACTGGATTTTAGATGTTATCAATACTTGAGTATGAATACTATTTTTCTTATTCTTAGATGTATGACTATCATATTAGTTCATATATTAACATTAAGTACATTTGATAATTTTATGGAATACTTTATAAAAAGACAATTGAGTATGGTTTTATGTGAAAGAATCGTAACCTCCTACTACAAAGTTTCAGCAAGTTGCTTATATATAAGAGATGGTGCACAAAGTTCACTGATGTTTCCGAATTCTCTTGCTGGATTTTTATAGGAAGCGTGCAAATGTGAATCATTTTTTAACTATAGCCATCATGATCACAAGTGTAAGCTTATATACCTTTGACATAAAACTGATCATATGACACATGTATCCCAAGTTTTAGGGACCAAAAACTATATCCATCTTCACAAGTCATCAATTTTAGTGATGCAAACTATCAAGGCACAAACGTTTATGCTGAGGGAAAGGAATGAAACTTTGCTTCAAGGGCCTGCAATTTTAGAAGTGATATTACTATAAGGATTTGTTATGTTTAACACATACATGGCTAATGATAGTGTGTAAGAAGATAAGCTGAACTTCCTTGCTGAAAGGCAGCCTTTATAGATGTGGGAATCATGACAAGTTTCATCTATGAGTTACTAATAACTATGAGAATTCACCAGTGACATGGAAGACCTTAATAAAGATATCAGCTTCGATAAAGATATCATCCGTGGGAATCTTCTGATATGTAGCTACTCTATCCGTTTCGTGCTCGGACTTTCCACTATTAAACAAGCTTTAGCTGTTACCAAGAATCTATCTGCAAAGGGTGTTGTGTTCTACATGGACCCTTATGTCCTTGGTTTTCAGATTAACCCTACACCAATGGACATGCCCGGCATCATAATTCCATCCTCAGAAGATTCCAAGGTGAGAACATAACTAGAAATATATGACTTACTCTTTTGATTCTTCTCGATGAGCAATCTAATAATGATATGTTAATTCATTTATAGGTTTTACTCAAGTACTATAACTCTTCTCTTGTAAGAGATGGAACCACCAAAGAGATTGTTAGATTTGGGGCAGTTGCGGCCATTGCAGGTGGACAAAATGCTAACTTCAGTAACAGAGCTCCCAAGATAATGTACTACTCAGCAAGAGGACCTGATCCAGAAGACAGCCTCTTTAACGACGCCGACATTTTGAAACCAAATCTTGTAGCTCCTGGAAATTCCATTTGGGGTGCTTGGAGTTCCGCTGCCACTGAATCCACTGAGTTTGAAGGTATACAAAATATCTCCAAAGCATGACATTGTTAAAGTTAATGACATTCCCATTTAAGCTCTTATGTTATTTTTGCTCCATTTAGGAGAGAGTTTCGCGATGATGTCTGGTACGAGTATGGCTGCTCCTCATGTAGCTGGTGTGGCTGCATTGGTCAAGCAGAAATTCAGAAAATTTAGTCCTTCATCTATTGCATCTGCACTGTCAACAACCTCTGTTCTTTTTGACAATAAAGGTGAGGCGATAATGGCTCAACGTGCTTATGCTAATCCTGATCAAACCCTATCTCCTGCAACCCCATTTGATATGGGGAATGGCTTTGTGAATGCAACCGCAGCTTTGGATCCTGGCCTAATCTTTGATACTAGTGAGTTAAAAACTTAACATAACCATGGCCGTTTTCATATAACCAAATGTAGACCATTTTAACGGTTCCAATTCTTTCTCTATTCAGGTTTTGAAGACCATATGTCATTTCTTTGTGGGATAAATGGATCAGCTCCAGTGGTATTCAACTACACTGGCAAGAATTGTCTTCTTAGCAATGCAACAATCAGCGGATCTGACCTCAATTTGCCATCCATCACTGTCTCAAGGCTTAACAACACTCGAACTGTCCAAAGACTATTGACAAACATTGCTGGAAATGAGACCTATACTGTCAGTTTGATTCCTCCTTTTGATGTTTTGGTGAAGGTATCTCCTACTCAATTCTCTATAGCCAGTGGAGAGACAAAGCTACTTAGTGTAATCCTCACAGCAAAGAAGAACAGCTCTATTGCTAGTTTTGGGAGAGTCAAGCTTTTTGGAACCGCAGGACATGTTGTTCATATTCCGATGTCTGTCACAGTGAAAATCGCCTCGAACCAATGAAGCTGTTATTATTACACAGAGCTTGATAGATAAGATAAATTGTATTCATTTCATTTTTCCATGTAAATGTCACATAGCATTTATAATACATGGTACATTTTATTTGATACAATATGTAAAACTAGAGGAAATAATCAACAGCCATTAAAACACAACAAGGTTCTACTAGAAAACATTTCTTGTTTTCATTCACTACGCGTTGCCTCCATCTCTGTTTCCTTTGCTTGGCGAAGAAGGCACCTTCTCGGATTCCTCTTCCTCAGCAGCAGCAGATCCAGAAGATGGTGTTGCACTTACGGGGGAGGAAGGATTCGTAGGCGTACCCATTGGAAAAGGAGCATACTTGTGGAAAGGCCAGCCTTGGAATGGGAACCTATACCTGAAAAAACCGGCTATGGCAGAGTTTGTTGCAGGCTCATCAATCTTGGTCATGGAGGATGATGAATCAACCTTGGGGGATTCAGAAACAAGCATTGCGGGAGAATGAACATGTCCTTTCCCAAGCTTCTTCCCTATAGCGGCTGATGGTGCTGCGAGTTTCGGGCTGCGAGAGCAGAGCACAAGTGGGGAAGCGACGAATGTGAGAAAAATTAGGCAGAGACAAACTCTTGAGATTGACATTGTAGCTGATCTGTTTTTGGAGTTCTTAGCAAGAGATGATTCTTCTTTTTGTTTTGAAGTTGTTTGTTTGATGATGTTTGGATTCAATGGTATTGTAATTTATAGAGTGGAGATTGTAGAGATAGAAGAATGTGTAGGAGATTCAACGTTGGATTTCTACTTCTTACCTAAAATCATAAATTTGAGAATCATGCTTATTGTCATGAGCTTGACTTGTGAAGGTGAACCAGAGAAGGTGAGATTATAAGTTGATTTTAGTATAAAGTTTGTATTTTTATCAACAAAGTTGTTAACTTTCATCTAAATTATGAGAATTAGAATCTCACAAAATGGTGTAATTTGAAACATTACAAAAGTATGTATTGGTTTGTTTGAATAAGAATGTTATCAGGAGTTGAAAAAAATGAAATTATATTTGATTTTATTATATATCTGGAAGATAAAGTCCAATAATTTCGGTAATAAGATTTAACTAAAAATAGAAGATTTTTTTTTGCAAATCCCTTTGATCAGATAGTGAAAGCGATTCTATATTTGCAGATCGATCTCCGAGTTCGCTAAATCGCCGGGAACTTTTACTGAAATTTGAGGCAGTCATGTCTTCGGATCCTGACAAAATGATGTCCAAAGCCGACAAAATGTATGCTTTTCTTTCTCTTCTCATTTATGTGAATGTCTCTGTACGAGAGGTTAATGATCGGTGGAAGTTAAAATTCAAATCGGGTTTTAGGGCATTTTGGGTTTATCGAGATGATTGTGCTCTTATGATATGAGGGTTTTCTTTTGTTACTGTGATTGAGAAACTTCTCGTGATCCATTCTTGAGATTGGATCAAGGTTTTTGTTGGGGGAAAAGAAGTATCTGGGATCTTGTGTATTGTTGCATAGGAACAGTTCAATATGAGAGTTTGCTTAAACTATAAAGAACACTTCTTTTGACTCTGCTTTTTAACTCAAATTTTTGTCTTTTGAGAGTTTCGAGCTGCTCTGCAAATTCTTGTTAATTACTTCTTTTTGGTATATCCTGGAATTGAAAATTGCAATTGTATTGGCTTTAAGAGTTGATAATGAGTATGAAATGTAATATATTTCCAGTTTGTCAAGGATTGAGAAATCATTTTGGATTGGTTTTGATGTGGAACATCGTCTTTACTTTAATAATTTGTGTTGTTCTGTTTTCACATTTCTACATTTCAGTGATCTGCTTCTGTTATTTACCATCCTTTTAAGCATCTTTGGTTCTTCATTTTTACAGGACAAAGCTCACGCTTACTAGATGGAGTGCTGATTGGAGAGGTGCTACCGAGTTGTATGAGCAAGCAGGTGGGTAATAGTGTGTACTTTCTTTTATGCCAGAAACTAAGTTTTAGATTTTT